CAGGGTGGTATGTAAAAATGTTTAAATAGGAAAGAGACATTTGGATATTTTCTGGTTTCCAAATGCATCCTATTGATGTAACTTTTACCCAATTTAATGTTATTCATTTTATCTACCTCAATGGGCTGAAGGGCTGAGTCAACCCTGCTGGGGAATTGAACCCCAGCAGGGTTAAGCAGATTCTTCTGACTAAGCATTAGCCTTTTTTTTATGACAGGCTCGTCAAAAAATTTCCTCATGCCTGCGGGCCCAATTCATTAGCCCCGAGGTTTACCAATTTGCCATAAATTCGGAATAAGGCTGCCCGGCATCTATCCAAAAAGAGGGCCACATTTGTGTTGCCCAGGAAGCTAAATATCTCTGGGTCCACTCACAAACATCGTGCGATCCGTTGCTCGCCTTGTCTGCTGAAAGGAGTCAGCCTGGGTGTATGCCTCATCCGTTAGGGTGAGAACCAGGGCGAGTGGCCCGACAGTATTGAGGAACTTATCCTGAGCACCCTTGAACTCTTTCTCTACCCCTTTTCTTGGGTCTCTACCCCCTCGTGCCATGAAGGCCAGCATCATTTGGTAAAATTTTGGGGTATAGGCGACCTTATCCGGAGTGCACTCCGATCTGAGCTGCTTGCGGACCTCTCTGTACACTGCCTTCCATAGCCAGAAGTGCATGTGTCCAACCAATCTCCCGAGCGTGGGTGGTAAATGTTTCTCGGGCCAAACAGCGTTGGCCCGTGGTGTCAAAAAAGAGCTCGCCATTCAGCTGCACTGAGACGAGCTCTTCCTCGACATCACCCACATGCTGTGCTCGCCCAGAAAGGTCTCCTTTCAAAAAGGAGTTGGGACTCCAAGTCCCGTGATCAGAATGGGGATCTTCTGCTTGCCACTCATCGAGAAACAATAGTGATGGGTGGACCTCCTGCTCCTTGTCTGAGGAAGTGTCATAAGTTGGAGGGTTTACAGGCCGTGTACGTTTTCCCTTTTTTAGGGGAGCATTACCCTTATCGGGTTTTGATTTTTGACCCTTCACCCTTCGCCTATCCAGTGGCGCTTAGCACACTTTGCTCTTTGGAAGAGTAGTCGGACTCCTCCGAGACGTCTCTTTGTTGGGAACATTTAGCGGGCACTTTGGTTGCATCTTGAGTGGCTGGAACGCCTTGGCTGAGGCCTTCTCCACAGAAGCAGCAACTGCCAGGTTGATTACTGCCTGGAGGTCTGAGGGCATCTGAGTCTTCCATTATTAACACTCAGTATACTTGGAGCTCACCCAATAGATTTGTGAGTAAATAGGCAAATTGGGGTTATACGCTTTACATACACTCACTTTAAGTACACTTGCGAGTACAGACATTCCTGCGCCTCTTCTGTCCGCGAGTGAACAGGAAATGGAAGGTTCTATTCTCGCCCGGAGCAGCTCAGTTTAGTGTCTTTGGGGCAAGAACTTTTCACACCTTCTGACAAGGCACAGGTTATTCATCTCAAATTTATTATGTCTACTCCTAGCTGAACATATATATTTTTTTCTGCCCCTACATTGTCCATATTCTGCAATCTGCGCTTTCCACTAAAAGGGTTTACTCTGCCATTTTCTATAACTATGACTTAGCAGCTTAGCTGCATTAGCCACAATTCTGAGGATTCAAAGTTAAACCTTAAATGCTAAAAAGTGATGAAGAGGTGTTTCTAAACAAAGTGTGCAACTAAGCTGCTAACAAATACAAATTAGCACTGTATTGATAGAAAATTGCCCAGTGGGCAGGTTTATTTTACTTTTCTTCCCATTTTAAGGTTCAGATGAGTAAAATATTAAAGATAAATGGTACAATCTGGAATGAGATTTTTCTTTTTACTATTTGTTTTAATTGAATAAAAGCCCACTGGAAATCTTGGAAATAAAATCACTGGAAATCTGCAGTTGCGGTATCAGTTATGCCTGTAAATTACTATTGCAATGCAGTACATGCATTGGGAAGTGAAAAAAGGTATTGCTTCACTTTAAGTACATTTTCGTTTTACATACATACTTAAAAAATTATCACTTAAAAAGCCTTTATGTAGAGGCAACGCTGGGGGTCACCCAGTTAAAAGGAGACTGCAAGCACAGCTCCACTCGGCAGCGGTATATGGGGGCTCACCCCGAGCTGGGTTACTAGGTATGAACCTGAGCGGCTGAACCACCCCTAGGTTAATACTAACCTTGACAGGCCCCTGTAGCAGGCAAGGTGAACAGAAGCCAATTTTGCACTGATTCCAATATATATATATATCTGTAATAACTTGGCTCACCCAGTAATAATATAAAGTCCAGGAGTATATCCCATAGGGAGGTACGGTGGCACAGACAGGCCAATCATAGGAGCTGTAACAGTGACAGACAGATAAAATAGCCAATATTTTCCGGCAAGGTAAGGTACCAAGGTATGTAACAATATGATGGGGGGGCTCACCCCCAGTAATATTAGTATAGAAGTATTCCAGTAAAAGCAGCAGCTAGCATAAGCTAGTGTACATTTATAAATCAGGGGCTCACCCCTGTTTAATTGCTTGCAACCGTCAAGGGTTAAATGGCCGCTGCGGATCTCGTGAAGCGCGATCCAAAGTGGCTGCAGAAAAAAACTATAAAATGCATTCGCGGGAAATCTGTTGAACGTTTGCTTGAAATAAAGCGAACAGAGACAGAACAGTAATACAGGAAAAAACTGAACGGAGGAAACAACGAACACAGAAAACTCGCGAATGAGTAGGTTCGCGAAACGAACAACCCAAAGGGAAACTACCGAATGAGTTTGGGAGTAGAACGGTCCAAAGGGTCGACCAGGAAGGAATATAAACCACCGAACGTGCATTGGTTTGAATATGCATTCAGTAGATTGAAGGACGAAAAACAGGCGTACGTGAACGCACGAACCGGTGCGAACGCCTGATAGAAAATACAAACTGCCAAACGCGCATACATATACGCATTGGGTAGATTAAAAAGGAAAGGATAGGTGAAAGCGGGCGCATGTTTAAAGTGCGCGAATGCAGAAGCCTGAGGAGAGCGTGTGGCGGTGGGAGAGTGCCTGTGGAGTGGCAAGCGTAGCCACAAGGACAACATTTTATGAGAGGGGCTCACCCTCTAATAATGAAATTAGTATCATGTACTGACATAAACTATAAGATAAACAAACAAATGACAGGGAATAAAAGGGGATAAAGTAGGTACACAATATCCCAAGTCTATACCCTACAAAACAAAAAAACAGCGTCTCCACTATCAGATAAAACCCTACATACATATACAGTAAGAAAAGAAAGAAATCAATCAAATAATTAAGTAAAATTAAGTAAATATAACAAGACAAGCCAACAAAGTGTCGACACAATATTCTGACCTGACTTGTGATGGAGCAGCAAAGAAAGAGGAAGTGACTCAGTGGAAGGCGTATCTTACACTCTCTGCCTGTCTCTGATTGGTTCCTTTTTACTCTGTATGTCTTTGCTGCTATGGAGTAGTAAAGGAAGATTATGCAAAATATGAAGGCTCCTGTCATGTAATAAAATTACGAATACCCCTAAAATTAAGAATCCCCAGACTAAAGACAAATTTAAAATTAAAACTCATCTCAATTGTAATACCACAGGATTAATCTATGTGATAAGTTGCCCTTGCAATAAATGATATATAGTACAAACAAAAAGAGCTTTTAAAACAAGAATAAGCGAACATATTAGAAATATCAAAAAAGGACTTTATTCACATAACTTAACCAGACATTTTGACATGGTCCATGCGAGAAATCCCAAAGGTTTCGCATTCATGGGAAGACAGAAAATAAATATCACATGGAGCGGTGGAGATTTAGAAAAAGAATTGGACAAAGCTAAAAGCCAAATGGATCTTTCGATTAGACACTATAGAACCTAAAGGGTTAAATGTAGATTTTGAATTAAATGCATTCTTGTAATCCAACATTCTCTATATCTCTTCAAATCCATTAATTAAAAAAAAAAAATTATTAAGAGCTTTTAATAAAATTTTTTAATTTTTTAGTTTTTTTTTTTTGCAGTGCAGAGATTTAACACAAACAGGCAAGAAGTGCCCCCAAAGGCAGTCCTCCAACTTTTCCAACGCGTAACATGCGGGGCACAAGATTAACATGCACAATTTTATGTTTTAATCAGGCATAAGCATTCGAGTATCAGAGCAGATTGAAGATATGCTATACTGAACGTGTATGTAACAAGGTTAGGTTTGCTGAGGCTTAGAAATACCGGAAGGGATAGGGAAGACAGCTCTCACTTTGTATATTATGCTTGCCTAAATGGTTATGTTGTCAAAATACAATAAGCTAGAGTAAAATAAAACAAAACAAGATAATCAATGCTTAACGATGAGTACATGGGCCTTTGTGGTAGGTATACTGATGAACACTTAGAACATGTCTAGGCTCTAGGCTGCTTGTATCTGCCGGTTACAATAGTAACAAGCTATAATGTGTTGCAGTAGTGAAATACAGGTTAGGTTGTTAGGGTGATGCTGCACTGAGTAAAATAATGAACCATATGTTAGCTTGTCACTGGTTGCCAATATAAAGGTATCGCTGATTGCTAAGAGAGAGCATGTAAAGGGTATAACCGGCTGCCACCATAGGACATTTGCAAGGTATCACTTATTGCCTATATAACTCATATAAAAGGAAGTACTGTTTGCCATTAAAAAAACAAATAAAAGATAACACTGGATGCTTGTATAAAACATATAAGGAGACTCCCTATTTGCCAAGACGTGTTAAGGCTATCTCCGATTGCTAACATAGAACATGGTACGGAAACCTCTGTTTCGTATGGCCCCAGTCCCTTACGGTTGGCAGAACTTTAACTGTAGCTTAACATTGACATTATTGACCACCTGGGTATCAACGGCTAGGGTATATCGGTAAGTACTGAGGGGGGCACGGGTACCTCGCTCGGGAGCATGTGGCACTGTCAGCCGATGCCCCGGCTTGGCAGGTCCGCGTCTACCTTGGGAGCCGTTAGTTGCTGGCCTCGCTTCTTTGCCATGCAGAGTCCCGCATGTCTGGTGAAGATGAAGACATCCAGGTAGTCACTTAAAGCCGCAGTGGTGAGGAGGGAGTTCGTCCCTCGGGCTTGTATCAGGGTGAGAGTCTCGCCGCTGCAGGCCCGGTAACCGCCTGTTGTCGGCTGTCGTCCAGATTTGGGCCTCATGTTGAGGTTCTGTCTCGATAGGGCAGGGCCACGGCGTCTCGGCTGCGGGGATCCTCTCCTGCCCCAGGACTGTCGGAGAGCTGGCAATCGCAGGCCCCGAGCCTAGGAACCTTCTTGGTCCAGTGTCGGCCCTTTCGGGTTGGTGCGGGGAGTCAGATCATGTTGCTGAGGTATTCGTTTTTCCTCTCTCCGCTGGTGTGGCCGGCACCTCCGGGGTACTCCCCTTCTTGCTCTCAGCCCGGGAGGGACCGAGATGTGGGTGTTCGATGCGGGATTCTTCTTCCGTCCGCCATCGACTCTTTCCCTCCTGGGTGTCGTCTGACCGGGCATTGCAGATTGTGAGCGTGCCTGTAGTTTGGCCCAGAAGCGGTCAAAGATTATAGTGATGGGATCTCTTGCCTGATCTCCGGTGTCCCCTGCATCCAGAGGTCGCTGTCGCTTGTCGGACACCATCGTGTCGGATTGAACCGCCGTCTTGGGCGCCCCCGTCCTCCTGTCACTTATGGAGGTCTTTATGCTTGTCTGTTGGTGCAGGGTTCAGGGTTGCCCACCAGGCGGGGACCGGGATATCCCCCACCGGTCCATGGGGGGGCGGGGGGGGGCGTGGTTTGCATTCATGTGTTGCAGTTGGAATCCGGTGGGAAGGCAGCCGTCCTTCCCCCCTGTCTCCACTAGGCCTCATTTTACCCCTGAGGTGCTCGGTCGAGTTGGGCTTCAAGTTTGGTACCGGGATGTTCGTAGTTGCTTCCCCCGGCCCACCGGCAGGTTTGTGTGGAAATCTCAGCAGTTAATCTCTGGTTATTTGCAGAATTTGGGCCTACACTGCAGGAGCTCTTGCAATGTGCTTCTGGTTAGCTTGCCTGTTCAGCTACGCCCCCCCATAATTCATGTTTTACGATTATTAACGAATATATATCATACACATGAATACTTTGATAACATCTACTTTCACGTTATTTCATTTTATAAAAATTTTTTTCTATAAAGATAATACTAAATATATATGTTTTATCTGAATCTGAATTGTGCAGTGAAGTGTAACATGTTTTATTTCAATGTTTTATTGCAATTAACATATGTTTGTTTTAATATGTATGTTTTAAATATGTATGCCATTTCTTAAATTATTATTTATGTCTGCTAGCTTACACAACAATCCCACTCAAAATACATGGTTGTACTCACTTGTATCACAAAGCGTTAATAAAGACACCCAGATATATCTCTATTCCTCTGACCTTTCCCCTGCTGTCCACCTACGTGTCAACAATTGCCTTTCTTCTATCTCTGATTGAAAGTCCTCCCGCTTTCTGAAACTCAGTCTCTCTAAAACTGAATTTCTTATTTTTCCTCCTCATCACTCTGATCCTCCTCCTTCACTCTCCCTGCAGGTCGACGGTACCTGCCTCACCCCATCCTTTCAAGCTTGCTGTGTTGGTGTAATTTTTGATCCTGGCCTCACCTTTGTTGCTAAAACCTGCCGATTCCATCTTAAAAACATTGCCCGCATACGCCCCTTTCTTACGCGAGATGCTGCCAAGGAGCTTGTTTATGCTCTAGTAATCTCTAGCATGGATTACTGTAATTCTCTCCTAATTGGTCTCCCTAGAAGCCATACTGTCCCCCTAGAAACTGTGGTGAATGCTCCTGCCAGGCTGATCTTTCTCTCCTGTCACTCCTCTCACACCTCACCCCACTGTCAATCCTTACACTGGCTTCCTGTCCCCTACAGGTGTCAATTTTAAATACTAACCTTTACCTATAAAGCTCTAACCAACTCTAGCCCCTCTTATATTTCTTCACTGATTCATAGGTATGCCCCCTCTCAGTCTCTCCGCGCTACTGGTGACCTTCTCCTGTCTGCTCCTCGCACCCTTACTGCAAATTCACAACTGCAAGACTTCTCACGGGTGGCTCCTTTCCTTTGGAACAGCCTGCCCACCCCTGTCAGACTCTCCCCTAGTCTTCAATCCTTTAAGAAGTCCCTCAAAACCAATCTTTTCAGGAATGCTTATGGCCTCCAAGAGTAAATTCTATCTCTCAAACCTTCCTCTCGCTCTCTCCTATAGGATCACACTCCACTCTCACCTCCAGTTCTGCTACTTTCCCACCATGTCTATTTGCTGTCTATCTCAATACCCTTCCTATTTTTATACCCCACCTCCTCTAGACTGTAAGCTCGTTTGAGCAGGGTCCTCAACTACCTATTGCTCCTGTTACATTTTGTTATTGTCTCATTTGGTAAATTCTGCTTTTTTTGTAAAGTGCTGCAGAATAAGCTGTTGCTATATAAATACTACTACTACTACTACTAATAATAATTATAATAAACAGCTGCAAGGACTCTGCAGGCTATTTAAACACAGAGACTTCGTACAGATGCCAGCCTCTGATGAAGTGAGTTTGAACTGACAAAACGCATAAGGGGGGGCGTGGTTTCGGCGCGAACCAAGATGGACGCCTAGAGGGAGAGCTCCACTCCACTGGACCCTGCAATAGCCCCTAAAGCACGCATTCGACAGCCAAATGGGTCGTAATAAACGACCGGAGCAGCCCCAGACCCCAAAGCACCTCCAACAAGGCCCTCTGGACGGATTCCTGCATCCACAACCCGGCGCAAGCGGGGAACCGGGAGGCCCCAAGATGGCGCCGACATCCCCGTCAGGGACGGAGAGCACAGCTCTCGATAGAATTGAGTAGAGGCTGCGCAGTCTCACGGCCTCCATGGCCACGAAAGACGACCTTAAAGCCCTCACTACCACCATACAGGATACCCTCAGAGCAGAGATGGCAGGGATCAGAGCTGAGGTAACCGCGCACGCAGGCCGCATTTCGCTGCAAGAAGAGGCCACTGAAGCCCTTACAACCCGTGTGGCAGCTGCAGACACTGCAATAGCCCGCCAGGGAACAATGCTCCTCTCTATGAGAAGACACCTTGATAACAGAGGTCGGAGGTGCAATATCCGCATCAGGGGCATCCCAGAGGCTGAAGGGCCAACAGAAGATGTGGTGGAAATACTTACTGAACTTTTCCAGTCCATCTTGCAGCCAACCTCACCACAGCACATAGAGTTTGAAAGGGCGCACAGAACAATGCGGCCCAGAACCCTGGAGGATGGTCCGAGAGATCTAATATGCTGCCTGCATTCCTTCCCAGTCAAAGACACTATTATGAGAAAGTCCCGCGAAAGGCCAACTTGGCCCTACAGAGGCACCCAAGTGGCATTATACAACGATTTATCCCCAATCACGCTAGAAAGCTCGGCGAGCCCTTCGCCCCGTGATGACCGCATTACGGGAACGAGACATCACCTATAAATGGGGGTTCCCATTCGCATTGATGGCCAGGCACCAAAATGGCTGGATCTCATTACGCTGGCCCGAAGAAGTACCGCGATTCATGGAAGAACTAGGCCTTCCAGCACCGGCGGTCCCCAACTGGATATTGGGAACATCAGCCCCAACTCAGCGGCCGCAAAGAGGGCCCAGACGGAGAGGAACTGCTCAGCCTGCCAGACGGCGCAGGAACCCGACTTCCCCGGAAGAGTGAGTGCAGACCCGCCTGATCCGTCATCGGCCTTTCAGCATCCTGAGTCACGTGGCCTCTTACCATGCACCTAGAAATAACCCTCCGAAGAAAGTGACATCGATCCCTGTTGACTGATCAGTGCTGCTAAGTTAAACGGGGTCAATCGCAGGTATGCCGGGACTATACACCAGGGACTTTGGGTGGGGAGTCTATGGGAACACGGGTCTACTCTGGGTGACCAGGCTTTCACCAAAGTGCACCTCTCAGGCTTACCCCTCATCCCTCAGTGCAATGACTGCCACCTCTTCACGGAGACCTGGGTACATATATTTGGGGTGGGGGTGCTTCGGGTTCGGGTAGAAACGAATACCGTGACGAACTGGGCACTAATCCTCTTCCCTGGATCCCCAACACTCATGCTGCCGAATGAAGGCGCAATGCTTACAAGCGTATTACCGGGCATGTGGACTTTGGAAGAGGAAGCACATTGAACATTATAAACAGCACCTACCCCTACGACAAATCATAAACTATGACTGTGACCAGGGGGAGGGGGTCGACAGGAGAGTAAGGAGTGCAAGACGATACACCTCATCACACACGACTTACCGATGTATGACCAGTACCGCCAATTATCGTATACTACCACGGACGATTTCACTAACTTCCACGCTGATCAAAGGGGCCCTTACGGCTACACATAGAGGGAAACACAGGGTGACGAGGGCGACTGACCCGGGATATCCCACGACTCAACACTTGGGGGGGACCCCCCTCCACTCCACACATGACGGAAGCCAAGTGGGGAACACTGGGGACTCACATTGAGGCTGGGCAGCTGTTGACGATCAAGGGGTCATATGGGGGATATCGGGTGATGTTACTGAAGCAATGTTGAACTGTTGAAACTTTTTATGTTATGCTATGTTATTGTTGTCCACACCATGTATATAAGCCATGGATACACCCCTCGCTACGTACCCCCCTTCAATGGTCAGATATTAAGGTAGCGAGACACAGATAGAAACCACACAGGGGTGTGGATAGTCACCTAATATCGGGAAGACAGACAGGGAAGGCCAATAACAACTAAATACACGTTCTAACACTAGCGTCGTCACTGGTACAACCACCACACACACCCACCCCGATACACCACACTACAGAGTGGAACACACTGCTTCCAGGAGCAGAAGGTCCAGACCACCTCGGGCACGAGGGGGAGCTCACCGTCCCAGGGGGCACATAGACAAGGCAAGGGACACTGGGGCGAGGGGGGGGATATTGAAACCAACGATGCTGGGGATACCGCCTCGGCCATAGCGATACATAATCGAAACCACAAGACACGCCCCGCAAACATAGGTGAACTAGCCTTGCACGACACTACCAAAAGAGGGTCCGGTGGGGTAGACGATCCCACTCTTGAGTTGATTACATTCTTGGGCGGAGCCTGACTCGCGTTCCCCAA